CTTTAAAGAACACAAACAATACTGATTACTTTGGTAAGTTAAATTTCCTCGACAGAAAAAAGTCGATGAGAATTAGAAATATTCAAACTAGATCCTATAAATTTTTAGCACATACACTAGCTAAGACAAAGAAAAACAGAATTTTCTTGTATATTTATGACACATAAATCATCGGCTGTCTGCTTTTTAGATGAATGCCACACATTCATGTCGGTATGATTTACGTAAGCCAAGTCATGCTCAATGGAAGCAACCAAATTCTAAAATCTATCGGATCATGATGAGTATTAGCGGTCTGTTTATTGTTTGTGATATCTTCTTACAATGCCTTGCTCATTATCGTGTCAAGGAACAGTTGCGAGACACGTACGAGCCCGCGTCTCATTAATTTCGAACATGTTAACATCCCTTCCTTTGGTATATTATGTCAGCGTAATTGTTTATATCTATTTCTGAAAAATTACAGTACCAAAAAATGAACTAATGATTCATTCAATCAAAACCTGTCTGCAATCTTATGAACCGATTAAATAGCATAAAAAGACACTCATTTATTTCAACCACATCTCTTTTTTGCGTTGTTCATAATAATTTCAAGATGCTTGGATTATAAGTACATTTTGATGAAGGGAATATTCAACTTTCTGAGTTGTCTCAAATACGAGAGATATCTCAAGGTACTTCTAGTAGTATTAAGGCTTAATTTGATGTGGGTGCGATGATGCAATGGTGTGAGTGAGTGAAATGTTGGATTGATATGATTTATGGTAAAGAGAAGATAGTTACCAGTACTTAATTCTCTCCATATCCTATGTCCATTAACTATTCGGTGGGGATTCATAGAGTGACCCAAGTTATGTCGATAACTTACGATGGAAGGTCATCTGCTGCAACTCTATAGCATTCGACGTATTCGGATCAGATTAAAAGTCTCACCAGCAAACCCAAGTAATAGATGTTTGTATGAGTATAGTTACATGTCGAACGGTGTGATATTAAATAAAAAGACACCTTTCATCCATACCGGCACTCCTGCATACGTGTCAGGAAGAAGGAAAGAAAGATCAAATACAATTTCGATTATCAATGAAGGAAACTACGTAATTTTCACGTTGGAAATATTCAGATGCTGCCTTTCTCTATAATAATGTTCGGAAAATTTCGTTCTCAGTAGTGAACTCGATATAGAGCAAAATAACCATAATAAAAACAAGGTTTTTTTTTTAATTTTCTAAAATATGTTGAGAAAAGACGAAAATACAAAGCAAAAAGAGAATACAGGTGTCAAACGTTGTCATCTAGAACAAAAAGAAAAAAACCATGTATTATACCATAGATTTTTTATGGAGATAGCTAATAGTTATATATTCTGACAGCTCAGCTGTCGACATAAAATCAACCATAGACTTTGTAGTATTCCTATTACTAAAATGGATGATTATGCACTGATGACTCATTGTTCAAAGATCACGAAACTTCCATAAAAATGTGCATTAGTAGATTTTGATTACTCATCACTGTTAATCAATTAAATACAAAAATAACATTGTTTCTTTTTTTTTTTTGTAAATATCGAAAGTCAATAATGGAAGTGATTCAACAATAGTCTTTTTTTTTGTAAATCAGAATTGAAAGTAGTTCAGAAGAAAGGAAATAAAACTGTTCTGTAAATTTGTTTTTATTTGATTATTTGCTTTTAAAATATGTAAATTGTGATTTTTGATTGACTTGTCAATATGTAGCTATTAAATCCTTAAAGTAAATATAAAGATAAATCATCGTTGAAAAATTTACAAAACTATTTGCTTTTATATTAATGGTACACTGAGAAAAAAACATTTTACTCTTGAATCCAATCATTTCAAGTGAAGTTAAGTCAAACTTGAAGGTTTTCAAATAGTCTTTCATTATTAAAATTGTTAATTTCATTATTTCACAACATATAGAAAAGCATGTATACTTTTCAAATTATTATTCTATATCTTGTAGCAACACATCATGGTTATGGAGAAGAAAGCGGTGGAAGGGGTAAAGATAAAATAGTGAGAATGTTTGTTTTTTTCGAAGAAAATTTTAAAATAATATAGGAGCTGATGCACATTCAACAGATGTTAGTGTTGGATGTTTTTCTAGTGATTCATCTGTTATGTTAATTAATGGTGAACAAAACCAAATTGATTATCTTCAAACGGGTGATAAAATTTTTGCTGTTGATCATATGAAAATAGTTCCTATTGAAATGATTTTTATGTTGGATAAACAAAGATCAAAACAAGGTTTTTATTCTATCTTAGTATTTCTTTTTTTTCAATCGGTTTGTTTTAGCTAAATTTTATACATTCATAACTGATTCGGGTCATAAAATAAGTTTGACAGGTCTTCATTTAATTCCAACTATTTCTTCAAATAACAAAATGAATTATATCGCAGCTCGACAAGTTCAATTGAGTGATCAATTGTATGTTCATATGAATGGTCATATAGAATCTTCATCCATTAGAAATATAACCATAGAAATAAAAAAAGGATATTTTGTTCCATTAACATTGACAGGTTAGTTTAGATTTTATCGTATTTATTTGTTTAGAAATAATTTTATGATTAAATAAAGGAACTATATTAATAAATGATGTTTTGGCAAGTTGTTATGCCTCAGCAAAAAATCATCAATGGGCACGTACTTTTATGGCTCCATTTCGTTGGTATTATAAATTAGCTCGTTTTGTTTCTCTCGATGAACCATTTTATAATTATCGAACAGCTGGAATACATTGGCTTATTCAAATTATTTATCAACTAATAACCTATATTCAACCGTCGATATTACAAATTTTATAAATTATTTGTTTATTTATTTTTTGTCCATGTTTAACAGGAATATGGATCTGGGTGTATACAGACGACAATTTTGACTGCACTCACACGTGCATCCTCTTTCAAATCAAAACTGCATCTATGTTTATTGAAACCATATGAACATTATTTTATTTTTGATTTCTTTACAGTCTATGAAACTTTATTTTTATACACTTTGCCCATGTAAACAAAGCGTACATGTATATCTTGTTTTAGATTTCCATTGCAAACACTGGTCACAATCACGAGCTTGGTGTTGAACTTTTCCATCAGTCGCAATAACGATCACAAAATAAACGCCTGATTAGTCATGATTAGTGTTCTGCAACCAGGTTGAGTACCGGGTATTAGGGATGCACAGTTCCGGTTTTTACCGGTTCCAAAGAACCGGAACCGATGGAACCGATTGGAACCGAAACCAGAAGCGATTAGAACCGATAAGAATCGAAACCGAAACCGATAAGAACCGATTGGAACCGAAACCAGAACCGGTTGGAACCGATAAGAACCGAAGCCGGAACTGACAGGAACCGGTTGGAACCGAAACCGGAACCGATTGAAACGGAGACCGGAATCGGTCAGAACTAGGGATGTAACGGTGACGATAACCGTAGGTACAGTTATTGATCCAAATCGGTTGTCAAGAAAAACAGCATTTTTTAAGAAAATAATGATATTTTATAAAGGTTGACGAAAGTAAATCGAGGTCGGAGAATCCGAATCTGAAGTCAGTTTTTCAAAATTTTGAAATGAATTTTTTCGAGAAAAGAAAAGGCTTTTTAGGAAAATAATGATATTTTATAAAGGTTGACGATAGTGGCACGAGGTCGAAGAATCCGAATCTGAAATCAAATCCTTGAGATGTTCAATTTTCTCTTCCATAGACTAAACCACTCCTTGAAAGTTGTCTTTTTTTCTGGAAAACTCTATCCTTGAAAAATATTCTATGTCACAAAAAAGAATGAATTTTTTGGCAGGTAAACTTAGAGAAAAGTTTTATTGTCATTCATAATAACTTATGTCTTATTGAACTTTCTCTGAGAATAGATATCGAGAACAAGCAATCTTAATATGGCATGGATCCGAATATCAATTTGATACATTGTTCCATAAAAGTACTGTTAGGACAGCACATAGTCGAAGTACCACGACAATATCTATTGGATCGACAGTCCATTTTCATGATTTGGAAATTAGCTATATCAACAAAGGTACTCTCGAAAGTAAAGCTTATTACGATCCAAATATTGTTGATACTTTACCAAATGTATCCAATGAACTAATGGAAAATGCCACCAAACAATTATATGCTGTTCTATATCGAGCCGTTCGATGCTGTTCGGATGTGGAAAAATTCCATAGTGAACTACTTTATATTCAGGTATCATTTGTGACATTTGGTTTTACATCAGAATTTATTCTTTCTGGTATTCAACGTTTTTACCAACAATTTAATATACTAGAAAAATTCTGGGATTTACGTTTGAATAATAATGAATATGATCATTTACGTCGGTGTATCGTAGAAGATGTCGAACAACAAATAAAATTGAAGCAACAACGTGAGCAAGCAAAAGAACATACATTATTCATGCCATGTCCACGTTTAATGGATGAAGAAAGTACCGATGCTTTCAAACAATGTTTTGAATATTGGTGGAATAAATATTATGCTAATGAATCACCAACAAACTCTATTCAAATCAAATGGATAGAACAAACACCAACTTGTTTGACAAATAGTGATATTCTGATCAACAGACGACCACCTCTTCGTCTTTTAACTTTGTCAAAACATCATCAAAACAAAAAAAGTTCGTATTGCTTGATTTTTCTTCTTCTCTTTTCGTTATTGATTTATCTCTTATTGTTATTTTTCTTTCCTATAGGATACCATCCTATGGATCCATTTTTAACCAATATTACTCGTCCATACTACAAGGATGAATGAACATTGTGTGCTTTTTATACTTTACTCGTTGAAGTAGTTTGCTTGTAATAGAGTAGTAGTAGTATTGAATGGATGATTTGATAAATACAAGCCTTTTTCTTCATTCATATTTTATCATATAATAGAATATGGATTAGTTGTGCTCTATTCTAGATAGATATCTATTGATAGATATTTGTTTAAAAGGAATACAATGGCTGATAAGCAGCGATATCCTTATGATCAAGAACATTGGTGGCGTGACTTTTTGCCTAATCAAGTACACAGACCATTCGATATCTTATCTTCTTTACCAAAACAGCAACAGCAACCACAACTAATAGCAACAAAACCAGAGAAGAAGAAGACGAAGAAGAAGAAGAAAAGTCGTGGCAATCGAGCCGAACAAAATTTTCAGCGAAGATTGCGCAATCCAAATTTGAATGATGAAACCAGGGCATTCTTAATACAAGCAACAGCAGAAAGAAAACGGGAACAACAACAAAGTGTTCCTAATACTATAATAGAAGTAAACAAAATTAATCATCAAATCAGTCAAATGGCAGAGGATACACAAATGATGGTAAGAATATATATATATTGGCTGACCATCAATGATAATCTTTATCGTGTTATTATTTTATTATGATTACGAGATTCCATTCGATGAGATCATTGCTAAGTCTAATTCGACGAAACGCAAACGCTATACATCAACTAAAATTGATAGACATCTCAGTCAATCTTTCAGTCGATTGTCGATTTCACAAGGATATTCCAAGAAAAAGAAGATTAAAAATATTCAAACCAACAATATTGCGTTACAAATGATCGACGATCTGAATGATCAAGCAAAATTATCAGCTCCAATGTTAAGGTCTACTTTTGTACCTCAATATTTAACAGTATCCGATCGGAAATTTAAAGATATGTTATTAAACGTAGTCCCTGATGGCCATAAAATTTATGAACGGTTAGATAGTGCCGAAAAGTTAAAATCAACACGTCAATTAGCTCATACCTTTAATATGATGTATTATTTTAAATTACAACAAGAATTATGGAAAGATTATTTCGATTTGAGTGTGACTGCGGGTATTTGGGCTCCACGAGTACTGAAATCGGAAGCAAAGCAACATTATACTTGTGTATCCTATGGTCGATCTGAGAAACTTGTTGAACAACGTCAAAAAACTATTCAACATCAAATGAATCGAACAAATCATGAGCTACAACAACAATTGATTTATCTACCAGAATGGACTGAAAATGTTCAGCCATTCATCGATTCAAAATTTCTCTCATCAGCTGTGGAAGCAATGGTTAAACATGGTCAATATCGTTTAAATATGGAATTCAAACATAAACGTGCAATGTTAAAATTGGATGCTGATGATCATCGTTTCATTTCAGCCGTATATGCATTGGAACCGACTGAAAAACAGGTTTCACTATATAACAGATTTATTAGATGCAATAGGAATAAAGAAATTTATTTGGTTGATATTTTAGATTGTACTGATCAAAATGTATTGGCAAGCTATAGCTAATGAACAGAAAGCACTGGAAGAAGTGGAAATTCTTCGAAAACGAGTGTCATTAAGACGACTTCCTCAATCATTTGATAAAATTCTTAATGAATCCATTGCTGCTATTCAAACAATGCTTTCACATGCTATTCTACATAAAGATCGACGT